TAGCTACTCTTGGAAAAGTGAGAGAAATTTTTTATATGATTCAATGCATTAATACTGCTGATGCTAAGAATACCAAAATAGCTGCCAGAATCCATGCAAAACAACACACCACAGGAATAACATATTTTCATGGATTATAACTACTTAAAGGTAAAATGCATGGAACAAGAAAAAAAACCTTTTGCATATGCTTTGCCATGTGAAACTAGGTCTTAAAGAATAACAAGTAATTATTGTCATTTTGTTTTCATGAGCTGAACTTAGTTTTGCACCAGTGGCTCACAAAAGCCTATGCCAAGTAAGATGTTCTCAGAATTAAGGAGAAAGGAAAGAAGTCTCTGGTTTGGGAGAACATATCTATTCTCTCCCCCAAAACATCTGAGAAACAAAAGATTCACCATCTTCTGTTTAAAATCACTTTCCAGCTGGATCGGTTCTAAGTGTCACACATTCCAAATGTGTTTCATATATTTGGCCATAGTGCTTTAGTGTCAAGAATCCTTCTGAATCATCTCTTCCAGCAGTACGTCCAGAACTATCTTCCCCAGCAGGCTGAGAGCAGCCCAGTCTGGGTTTGGGTTGCCCCAGCATGCACATGTGCACATGCTGCACTGGTGAGAACTGTACAGCACCAGGAAATTCTGCAGGCAACGTGAATGGCATAGGAAAATCCTGTCCAGCACTGAGTATCACAAACAGCAAATTAAGAGATGCTTACAGATATAATATCTGTGAACCAAAGAGGAGAAATTGTAGTAATCACACATTGTGTTTGAATAGTACTTTGTATTGTGAGAAAGCTTAGCATAATGTGGCATATAACTACACTGCAGCAGGCCTGTCATTTGGAAAGTGGGAGGGAAAGAGTTTATCCTCTCCCCCAATCCATTCCTCATTTGAGTTTCTCTTTGTAAAGTCATTTCAATAGCAAGCAAAAGCTCACAGTGCAGTAAGCATGAGTATAATCAGCTTTCAATGCCCCCACTTCCACTGGATTTTACATAGCAGATTCCCCTGAGCACAGCAGAGTTTGATCAGAGTGCTTTTCTGAAGTGGGACTCTGCTGTTGGTGTTCAAAGAAAAACACAGTTCTTCAGGTATATACATCACCTACATGACCGAGACATTCCACTGGACTTGTCAGCCCTTGCAAGGAGGAGGTCTTCCACAGGGATGGGAAAACTCAGGACAGTGCTGTGTACCCTTGAGGGACCGATTACCTGTATGCAAGAGGGAGCTGCACAGAGCGATGTTCACCGAAGCACAAGCAGCTGTTGCCACCCAGCACTCCTGGCACAGAACTGGAGACGACAACCCAGGAAGTCTGCCTCCACAGATGCAAAGTTTCACATACCTTCATCTTTTCCTGTAGATTTTATAAAATAAGAGGTATTAAAAAAAAAAAAAAAGGCGACAATTGGAAACTCCAGAAATAGTTTATATAAAAAACCTCCTATTTTGTGTTACGTGAGCAAAACTCGTGCTGGATTTCAGTTGCCAAAGAGCATATGAGCTGCCTGTGAAGTGTCCAACATTCTCATCTGGAAAAACTTTTAGATTTTATTCCTTTATTTGGCTTGAAACAGAGCTTTTTTGCTTTTGTTAAATCTTTAACTGTGGTCTGGACCACAGGAAAAGTAAAAGGCAGCATGCTGGCTAGAGGACATCATTTTATATTTTAGAAGAAGGATTTGGAGTGAAAACAGATGAAAGCTGTGGGGGCCCTGGTCAGATGGCAGTCAAAAAATCTCCAGGAGCCAGAAGGAACAGAGTCCAATATATTTGAATCCTGGCTCAGAAGAAATCAATGATCAGCTGAATCTGGGGATGATGCAAGAAAAAATAAAGAAAACAACATTCCTTGAGGTACTGCTTCAGCACTTTGTATAGTGAATGATGGAAAAATACCATCAAGAGGAGATTCTCATAATTCTGGCATCAAAAATTTCTGTGTGTTCGCATTAACCACTGTTACTCTGGTGATATTTCTAAATAGAACAGAAGCTGCACAGGCACAGAAAGCAAAAGATGACACAGAACAAACAGGAGGACATGGAAAACCTGGAGAGAGAAGACTAAAGAGCTGTATAGAAATCTAGTCCATGCTCAGCACTCGATGGGAATTGGAGAAGTAATTAGGAGACTGACATCCACTGGACAAAGTAACCAGTCAGGGCAAAGGAAGAATTCAATAGGAAGAGTGCCATGTAAAGGAGATGTTAGTAGAGGTCATTGCTTTTCTGAAAGCTAATGAGTCAATTAACATACAGCAACTCCAAACATGCTGCCTCTGAAGCATCCCAAGCCCTTCTTTAGGAAAGTCACAGAGGTCACAAATTGCAAAGGAACCTTTTTAGCTCCACTACAATCTTAAAGAAGTACAGTCATTGCAGGAAACCAGTCCCTTTACTTATAATGTTATCAAAACATGGCTTTACCATGTTGATTATACTGCTGTTACAGGTGTTTGTATTGCTGTTGTTCCTAGCTGTGCCATTTCAGTCAAATCCTGTTTTCCTTGTCATCCAGGAATGGTCAGTGGAAGTAGGATATCCTCCTCATGCCCTGGGGCACATTCTTGCTTCCCTCACTAAATATTGTTTTCAGCAGCAGTTTGTATAATCATGAAAAACAGAACTGAGCCCTTACATGGCTTCTGTGGTCCTAAAAACACCATGCAATGGATATGACCCAAGGAAATGATCATAACTTTAGCTTTCACTGCAGTATTGCAGACTCATGCTAAGCTACTGAGAAAAAAACAACCGCCAGCAACAAGAATATAGATGGACTTTCTGTCACTAAACTATAACCACCGACAAAATTAACTTTGGAGTGTTATAAACAAGCCAGCTGAGCTTGTATAGGGACTGAGGTGGTGGTGAGACTGACTCTGTTCTTCAGCTGTTTCTGTTCTCTTTGTTCTGCAAAACTTGATTGCCAGGAAAGGGCACACACTAGAGGTTTAATTTCATCACCTAGTTTGTACCATTAAACAAAATCATTTAAAATTAAACAAAATGTCTAACCTTCCCTCTAATTCTTCAGGTTCCTAATGACACTTAATACATCATATTACTAATTTATTTTATAAATGCTGAATCTTCAGGTATGATATAAGGCTCTTACATAAATGTACCGGAATGATGAGGAGCAGGGAGCAAGAAGGCTGCAGGAAGTAAGGTCTGAACATTCATTGTTCTAGAAATTCATCACTATTTTGAAAAACTTTTAAGCTGTTTTCCACATGTGCTATTGTTAAAGCCTCTGTGTGTCACACCGGATGATGTCTTGCACTGTTGCGCTGGGCCCTTGAAAGGAAATGGAGTTGTTCAGCCAGTCACTTCTTTCCCAGTTTCTATTGTTCTGTCAAGGTTAAAGTTTTCTTTCCTTTAGGATCTCAGCTGTAAACAAGCAGCCCCTAACAAAAATAGTCTCAAAAAACCCTTGTAGTTTTTCAGTGAACAAAAATTAAACACCTGTTAGTCTTTTAGATTGGTGCCATAATGCACACTTCAGTTTAACATCACTTAGCATTGAATTTAAAGGACATTTCCTTCATTAAAAAGCTTTCTCACTACAGGAGAAAAAACACAAATAAAGTCTCTCTAGAGACATTTTACTTTTTATTGGTACTCAGAACTGCTTTTCACTCTCACTCCTCCTCCCATACAAACTCCCCCCAACAAATGCTCTCAAACTCTCTTTATGTGGCTCTGCTTATCTGGATTTTCTCCCTAAAGAGGGCTAAATAATCTTTATTTGTAGAAACAGTATTTGCTAGCAGAAGTAAATTTCAAAATGCATATTCACAAATATGTAATCATTTGCTAAAGATTTTGGGAGTACAAAAATCAATATTGACTACAGCTTTGTTTAACAATACATTTTTTTAGTCTGTGCTGGCCCATAACAACAAAAGAGCTTAACATATTTATAGCACTCATACATTTTTTAATTAGAAGTAAAAGATTTTGTATTCTGGTGCATCTGTATTTAATAGTTACAAATGGTGAATTTTTTTTTTTTCTCCAACAGCATTTTCCTTGGAAAATGGAAACAGTTTTGCAAACCTAAAACTAATACAGAGAATTCCTCTCTCCCTTCTTCTCTGCTGTCTTAGATAGAATCCTCCCAGCAAAAAGTCATTCAGTAGTACTACATTTTAGAGATCATTGATTGTTAAACTGTGTAGCATTATTTTTCTATGCTATTTTTGCACTGAACACTGCAAAGACACAAATTGTTACTGCTAACATTATTGCAACATCTCACATTGTTTCCAGTTGCTCATAAATTCTGTATAGCATCATATCCTTTTCCTATGGCTTTACATTAGCACTGTAAAAGCCCGGAATATGGATTCATATTTTGGACTTAAATTTATTCTTTTTCCTGAATATTTGCTAAATATTATTTTTCCTGAATGGTTTCTTCCATTAACTGAAGTGCATGTCAGATGTACAGTGGCCCAACCCATCTTGAGATGCTCTGGTACAAAGTGGTGCATTCCCCTTTTTCCACATTTATGCCATGCTCTTGTCATAAACAAGAATTTTACATTGACCTGGGTCGTCAGAGAATGCTGAAGAAAAGATCAGGAGCCAAAGACAGTATTTTAGGTAATTCCAACTGTTAACCATTCCGGTGCTGGTGAAACAATAGGCAGCAGCCGTGAATATAATGTGAGCATCTGCCCGATGGCAGATGAGCTTTATCTCACAGCTTGGGAACTCGGATGGATGGTGCTTGGAGTGCCACCTTCTTTTCCCTCTCAGCTCAGGTTAAATATTGACTGGCCTGAGCTTAAGGCTGTTTGTTATGTGTGAGCCAAGATCATTATTAATGCAACAGCTCACAGAGCCCAAAGTGTCCTGAGCACTTTGCAGAGATGTAGGGCAATCCAGGCCCCAGTCCAAAAATCTGTCAGTGTCAATTTTCGACACAGCAGCCATTCCTCCCTGTCCCTCCTTCCCTCCCATTCCTGTTTCCCTGGGCTGTGTTACCTATCTAGTCACTTGGAAAATCGGAACAAGTATTTAGTTTGAGGAAACAAAAACTTTCCTCAGCATCTGAGTTCTGAAAACAACCAAAACCTTTGCGAAAGAAATGGGGATTAATAGCAGACTGCGGGTTCAGTTCCCTCTGGTTGCATGGTGAGTAGAAAACCCATTCAGCCATTTCAAGTACTAAACAGATATCTGGAATCATCTCTGCTGTTGCAATGGGTAAAGGTTCCCACACATTGTGGCAAAGGGGCTGGGGAAATGGCTGTCTCCATCACTTATAAATCCATTATTAAAATTACCTATTTTCTAAGAAGAAATATTGCAATAATACAAATACTATTTTTAAAGCAGCTTGATATAGACTAGTTCCAGCTTGTCTGTGAGACACTGGCAGGACCATAGCATTTTCAGAAAACAGGTTTTGCTTCTCAGATGTTCTGCCTCTTTTAGTCCATTCAAAGGAAATGACAGTTCAGGGTGAACCAGCAAAAAGTTATTTAGTCTAGATCAAAGGTTAAATTTTCAGTTCCCCTCTCTAATAATAAATAAAGTTTTGAAAACATGTTTTGGGAATGATACTTTGTGAAATTAATTTCAAGGTGGGCTTTTAGTGTAGTCAGAATTACAAGAGCCAATGTGACACACATTGTGTAGGAGCGGAAAAGAAAGAGCTCGTGTGTTAGGGATTTAAGTAAGCTTATAAAATCTGCTCATGTTGACTTGCATTTTTTTCTCCAGCTGAATTCCTGCTCAGTTGCAGTTTACCAGTTAGGTTCTCCTCAAATTAAATCTACAGTTTTCTGTGCAAGGGAAGGGAAAAAATAATAAATCAAAACTAATGAGATATTCTTTATACTATTGACGTCTTTATTTTTTCTTCCTGCGTCACTGCTAGATTTGAAAGGCGAAAACAAGGAGTGAAGCTGAATGTGAAAAATGAAAACTGCCCACCTGGTGAAAAGAAGGGAAGGAGGAAATCAGAAGGGTGAGTTAGCAATTCCTTAAGCACATGCAATGTCTGTAATTTTCAAACTTGACAATTGCACTAAGACACAGAGAGGAAGGGAACTGATAGGGAGAGTGTTTGCTCTTTCACAGACAGACCTGTGAGAGAAGTACATCAGCATTTTGCCGAGGCTGTGTGCAGCACATGCACAGCTCAACACAGGCACAGAATGGCAGCCACAGGAGGGAGGAGGATTCTCACCTGCTTTCCTCCCCTGCTCTCTCTGCCTTCCCTGCAGGGAGAATATTGACACAGCCCTTCCTTTCTCCGAGCTCAAAATCTAGTCAGTTAAAACATTTTGCCTGTCCTTCTCTGGATGTATCCACAAAAACCTGTGTTAATACCTTTTTCCAGATTTTAAAATCATATTATTATCCTTTTCCTTTTTTTGTTATGTGATTCTTTTGTCTCTCTCCTTCCCTAGCCCCTCCCTTACCCCCAAGAATAACAGAGAGACTAGACTGAGCAAACATTGAAACAGACAATGTACAGCTTGCTTTCAAATGCACAAAAAAGCCAAACCAGGAGAGAAGAGATTAAAAACTCATGGGTTTTTTCCCTCCCTGTCTCTAATTGTAGGTGTTATTATGACAATGTAGGTAAAATATTTTCTGATGGAGGTGTTTTTTTTTTTTTAATTTATAATATCTGTAAGTTCAGACAGTGGTTGAGAAGTTGAGCTTCTGTGTGCAGGAGCACTGGCACATTAGGCAGAATGAAGAGTGCAAGGGTGCTGTTCTGAGCTGTGCTCATCCATATCATTACACATGATTAAGCTCACACATAGCCTTCTTGCAGTTCAGCAGGAAGCTATATCTAGAATTTGACTGTCACCAGACTGTACTGAATTTAGTAGGACTTTTTGTTTCATTTACCTTACGGCTCGATTTTTCTTGTCTGGCAACTTCTGATTGTTATCCAGAGAGCCATTCTAATGTCTACGAATTAATTGATGCTATAATCTTCCAAGCAATTGTTTTCAGCTGCTATACTTAAATGATTATTTGTCTGAAGGCTGTTCTTCACATACAGAAATTTGAAAAAAATTAACAGTGAAACCGGAACATTTTTTCACAAGTAAACCTTTGTAGTGAACAGAGAGACACTGAACATGATGTATAGCGCTCTACATGGTTACCAAATTTGTCTTTAATGCAGGCATATAAATCTAAAAGTCTTGCCATTACTTCAGATATGCTGCATACTCAGTTCTGCATTTTGTGGGGGCTGCAGAACACCAATGCTCTACAAACCACCAACTTGCAGGAAGATAACTTACAGTCAATCTATCTTTTCTATACTGGTCTTATATACTGGTATGTAAATATTTTTGCTCATGACCAGAAAGCTTCTGTTATCCTGTTTTAGGAGACTTGATTGCTCTTTCTGTCCATCTATCTCAACAATTAGCTCTCACTCTATAAGGATCATAATTTTTTTTTTTACCTGAGATGTGTATATTACCTGTGGATGCAGTAAAGGATTGATATACAAGACATAAGAAGTGAAACATCAACCTGTATTTTTGATGAGGCAGTGCAGAAGATGTGGATTGGGGTCTAAGTCCAAGAACAAAGAGATTTTGTAAGTAGCTTGGGTGAAAGAAAACTCTTTCCCTTGCACTTTCAGTTATTTTCTTTCAGGACTCAAAGGATCGCTGTCTGGAGCCATCAAAAATTCCTCTCTTATATGACAGATGAGAACTAGAAGTAGAACTTCTATTGCCAGACTGACTCATCTGGCTTCCCCAAATAAGAACATATCTTTGTAGCCACTCTGACTTTATACTTGGTGCCTATAACCTGTAACTGTGTTGTTAAGACCATGTGTCTTGCCTTGGTATGTTGCAGACTTTCCAGGAGACTCAGACAATCAGTGCAAAAATACTCTCTGGCCTAGGACCCTCCCTGGCTTTCACTTTCAGGAGAATGCCTGGCCAAGGTTCAAAAAGTGACCATTCCTCATAATAATTGCATTATAAGTTGTGGGCAGCAGCATATATTCTTCTGGTAGCCATTACAAGCATAAAATACTGTACTTTGCAGCATAGAGAGAAAGGACAGTGTAACAACTAGTGACAAGAGCTGACCCTTCCATCAAAGAAAAACTGATTATCAGTGAATTTTCATTTGTCTGTGTAACACTCAAGACACCAATTAACTACCTGTCTTTCTCCTATTAGCAATATCTACAGTGTGCTGTGTAGGAAAAGTCTTAGTCAAAATTAACAAGGCACAAAGCACTAGGTGGATAGCAATTAGCAGACAGTGTCATTGCCATATCTTCCTAATAAGATGAAACAATAGAGAAGGAAATGTATTCTGTGCATCTAATGGATGCTGTAGATCAAATAACATCTCAGAGATTTCTGAAGCAGTGTAAACAGAACGGCTCCCTGTTGTGAAAAGTCATCTTGGATCAATGGTAGAACTGGAATAATCGCTGGCATGTAACTGATGTGGGGAAGGGGAAAATACAACATACTGAATTTTGTGTCATCAAATGAATGGCTTCATTTGAGCCTGCAAGAGTGTTTCACCAACTCTGTACTGGACAGGAGACAGACACTAATGGGGCTGGCTTGTTTTTGCAGACAGATGTCCACAGTTCCACCCTTTCTCCCTCTTGTTACCCAACCTCAGCCCAAGATCAACATGATTCAAAAGCAGGTTTCATTTATCTGACATCCACATGTGCTCCTTTAGGGGATAGAAGCTTAAATAAATGGTCTGGGTTTTGAGGTCATCTCTGTAACAGGATTAAAAATATTAACTGGCTCATAAATTTGTTTTACCAGGGTAGCATTGCCTGACTGAGCCTGTATCATTTTTATTGCTAGCTACAGTTATGTTTATTGACAGACAAGGATTATAAAATGATGACACAAAGCAGTAGTTATTCTGGGACCCAGCAGGAACAATAAATTCTCTGCCTCCAGTTCTGGAAATGTTTCAAGGCTTTTTTCTTCACGAATAGTTACTCCATAAAGCCACAGTATTTTCTTGACTAACACTACTCATTTTCTTCACCAGTGTTGCTCCAATCAGTGCAACAGAAATGAAGAAGAGAGTGGTGTAATGCTACAAAATTTACAAAGCCCTAAGTACACAGAGCTGAAATTATATTTTTCTGTAAATCTTAGTTGCCAACATGAACAGCAGAGTTTCTTGTGTCTAGGGATATTTCAGTACACCAAAAAAAAGCAGCAAAAAGGCAAACAAGAAAACATGGTAAACTTGATGCACTTCAATTGGAGAGAAAGAAATAAAGAACATCCAAGCTTTTAAATACACAACAAAATGACACAAAATCAAACATACATCAGAAGTCTGTTAAAGCCCCAGTTTTCAAATGTTAGTCATGTGCTTTAACGACACTAAGAAATTGGAGGACATTTGCTGCCCAGTGCAACAAATGATACAGAGGTGGCCTACTTCACTTTCAGCCTATTTCAGATGTCAAGTTTTTTGAGCCTCTATCATTTATCTTATCTTCCTGTTGCCCTTTGAGTGTTTGTTTACATCTTTCCCATAGTCTGAAGCCTGAAACTTCACTTGAAATGAGGTATCACTGGTCTCAATAGTGAGATTGATGCTGAAACACAGAAGGGTTGAGGCTGCAAAGGACCTCTGGAGGTCATCTTGACAACCTGTGCTCAAGCAAGGTCATCTAGAGCTACCTACAGCCTCTTATCCTTCACAAATGAAAATTAATTTGTCCAAAAAAAAGAAGACTCTTTTTTTTTTTTTTTTTTTGCATAGTAGTGTCACACTGTTGCCACTGTCTTTATCCTCCTAACTCCTTCTCTGCCTTATTCTGCTTCCCAAGTGTCTTCTCCCCAGTTTCATACACGCAAAGCACTTCTATTGCAATTGCATGTGCCTCTATCAAATTTCCATCAGCTGATTTTGGAACAATTTCCTATTTTCTGGAACTCTTTCAAAATTTGAAAGCGTCCTCATGATTTCATCATCCAGATCATTGATCAGCAAAGGATTGAATAAAAATGGACTCAGAAATACACAATTTTAAATGTCCTCCCAGTTTGACAAAAAAATAAGTGATAGTTTCTCTTTGATTTTGTTTTCTCAACCAGCTGTGAGCCTTCTCTGTGGTGATTTAATCATATACCATAATTTGCTTATGAGAATGCTCTGTAGGAGACTCAAGAGCCTTACTGAAGCCAAGATAGATCACATCTACTTCTTCCCCCTTATTCACTTATCCTGTCAAAGAAAGAAATTAGATTGGTTTGATACAATTTGTCCTTGACAAATTCACATTCACTAGACTATTATTACCCTCGAGGTGTTCATAAATTGATTGATTGATCCTCCACCACACAGCTTCAGTTCAAGGAAAATCACTTCAGCAGCATCTACTCTGATGTGCAGCTAATTGGGCTCAGTTCTGTGATTTCAAATCTTCTTCTGCAGGTTTGGTGCTGAGTTTCCAAAAAGGCATCCTAACTATCTTGACCACGTGTTCTCTTCAGTCCCAAAGCCAACCAGGTTAAATGAGCTTTACCTGCCATACTCAAGGGCAGCAGAACTACACGCACAACCTGTGCTCGTAAGAATATCATGCACCCTTTAAATGAGCTCTCTTTACTGCACTATCAAACATAAAATCACTGCCTGTTGATGAGAGTGACCTACCAGTTCTGGGGTTCATGCTACTGTGGTGCATGAGTAAGAATATTTTGTCATTTATGAAGAGCAGAACACAGTAAATGGTATTATTTGTAAACAATATTTGCAATTTATGTAAATGAAGCTGCATAGAATGGCTTCATCTCCTTTTTTTTTTTTTTTCCCCAGAAAGGGAGCAGAGTTTCAGTTTTCTAAGCCATTTGACCCTGAGGCTTACATTTGGAATTCCATGCTGATAGACACTACATAATTATTATTTTAATTAGAAAAACTGCAAAATGTTCTACTGTGCCTCTTAATTCAAATGTTATAGCCGCCACATAGGGCTTAGTCCTTCAATGGTTTCAGCACAGACTTACACTGAGCACAGTTGGCATTTTGCTCAGAACAAGATCAATATTTTTGGTGTGGCATCCTCACAATGAAGAATTAGCTAACTGAAAGACTGAACCCAAATTGACCACAAGTACTATTAAACTATTGAACACTGGAAATTTGACTTTCATGACTCAAAAAGATTTTATTAACATTGTTCATGTGCACAGAGACCTAATTTTCTAGTTCTTGCTTCAGCAAAACTCCTACAAGTAAGGAAGGGTAGTTTGAGTTCAGTGTGAGATGATCTCAGTGAGTTCAGTGTGAGATGATCTCAGTGTGCTCTGTGTGAGGTGAGCTTCAGTCACAGTCCTGTCCTCATTTTTGTTTGATCTCAGTCCTCTGTTAGGCTCTGCCACTGCAAAACTCATGCACAGAAATTCAGTGGGATCACACACACTAGGAAGTACGACTTTTAGAATTTCAGTACCTGCTTACTATTTGTGAATCAGAAGAAAATATTACTTTCCTACATCACTTTTTGAAGAACTGAGACACATTTTTAAGGGCCAGAGAAGTACCAAAATAATAGACTATTTGTTTCAAAGATAATGCAAAGCACTGAATGGGTCATTATGGAATAATTTAATTTGAAGAAACATTACCACAGAGCAAAATGAATAGATTAATTGTGCTATTTGTTTTCTTTCTCTCTTTGGAAACATATAAAAGATACCATTTGTAGAATGATAACATTTTTTTTATTCCATCATCTACCAGTGAAAATATATCCATTTTCTTCATTTTATAAGCAGTTAAATTGCTCTGACTGTTTATACACATCTGTGAAAAAAAGACATCTACCTTAAGATTTACCTGCCCCCTCTTCCATCCATCACTAAGGGCATGTTTGTGTTTGGCACAGGGATACAGCAGGATGCCTGAGGTAGCTTTCATCCCATCTTATATGTCCACATATTTTTGTACTGGGCCCAGGCTGCAATGGGACTGGGCAGCTTCCTGTACTTCTTTTCCATGCAAACCTACCCCAAGAACAGTTGCATCACTGTTTTCATGTTCCTGCAATTTAAAAATGCATTTCAGCTTAATTGCCTGTTAATTTGAATATGAGGCTTGGATTGCATCTTAGTTCTCTGCCATAGTTTTATCTTTGAAACAGCAACAAAATGACTTTTCTTTGTGGCTCTGTAAGTACAGCTAGCTAAGGAAATTGTTCCCAGGGCTGTGTATGCCCCTTTTGACACTGCCAAGGTTACTTGTGAATAAGAATCATGTTTGTTTCTGCTACATCAGAAAACAATTAGTCTTCATTGTTTGCCAACCAGGAGTAATCAAAAGCAGTAGGGAAATTAAATATACTTTCTGGTACATATGAAGATGATATACAAAAACAAAAGCAAAAATGCAAATTATAAAAGGGGAAAACTCCTAGACCGCCTCTTGCAGGAAAATAAAGATCTAGGCATTTTACAAACAGGTTTTTTTCATCTTTTCCATGAAGACATATTTGATGGAGAAAACTCCAGATGTATGGTAGAGCGAGACAGAATAGTTTATTCGCTGTGGAAACAGTTAAGGTCAGAGTGCATACGCAAGAGCTGTTTATTTGCTTAGGTTTGATTTGAAAAGGTGGTTTTAGCAATACCAGTGGGGAAATTTAGCTTCTTTTTGCTAGAATTGAGGAGAAGAATATGGCTATGAGTAACCAGGAATGCACATTTAAGGTACTGACACGCTGCTCACCACTGTAATTACAGGATAGACAATCATCTAGGTTTGAACAGTGTGGATATTGAAAGAGTTGAACTGCTGGCTATATTAAAGTGAGATCTAGAAGCAGTAAAGGATTTATAAGTCAAAAATTAGGCGCAGATCTGCCCAAAACAGAAAACACCTAGTTCACTGAACAGAAACAAAAATCCAGCTGGTCCAGAGAATCCTAAGCAGGTACCTGATTGTCAGCTAGGTAGCAAGGAAGAATAATCTTCAGGCTGTATGCCAAACCATCCAAGGGAACAGAGATCCCTCCATGTAGTTGAGGCCCAGAGCCTGATTGCTCATGTGAGTTTTCTTCCTGAGAAATCACAAGGAGATGTTCCTACCATGCACCTTTTCTGCAATAGCATCTGCCCAAGAATTGGGCTCAGACGCTTGCCAAGCCTGGGGGAAGAGGAAAGGGAGAGAAAAGGGGGAGCAGGGAAGGGGGAGAGCAGCTTTTAAAAGACAGGAGAAACACTGTGTATTTTTGTGGGGCACAGTCCAGTCACAGAGATGTACTTGTCTTTTAGAGGAATTAGACTGTCCTCTGATTGGTGTTTGGATCTGAGTGTAAAATTAGTAAGAACTGAGCCAAACTTCCTGGCCAAAAAAGCTCAGCAAGTTAAGATGCTGCTGGCCAGCTGCCAAGTAGGTTTAAAAGCTAAAATGTTTTAGTTCTAGATTTATTTACACAAACACAGCAAATACAGTTCTGGAGAAATTTTCTTTTTTCAGCATCACAGTGGGCCCTACACCAGCCCACTCCAGTCTCCTGTACTGTAACCCAGGTGAGATTTCATCTCCTGCATGTGGCACGTGTTTGCCATAGGAGCCTGTATCCCTTTAACCCTGTCATAACTTCCTTTAACAGAGAGCGTTCAGCTATAGACAGGCTTTCAAAAAACTGAAATTAATTTTTTTTAAATAATGGATTTGGAAAGGTAAATCTATCAATTTTAATATGTAAACTCACATAGCAGAATATAATTTGGAAAAAAAAAAAAAAAACAAAAAACAAAACCCAAACACACTGACAGTCAAATCAAAATAATTCAGTTTGTAAATAGCAGCAGGACAACAGACTGCCTTTCTTAGACTCAAATTCTAGGCTAGCATTATGCACATTGTTAAAACTTCTTTCTATGTGTAAGCTTTTCTACAGAATTTATCCTGGAGTATCTAAACCTTGTGCAGCTGCTCCCTCACTGCTCTGTGATTATCTGAGAAGCCAGCTGAAAGCTCATTTTTAGGCTTCTCCTTTTTTGTGGGATATTGCTTTACTGTAGTTATTTAACGAAATGCTGTGTGTGACAAAAAGAGTTGTTTCAGAACCTAAATAGAAATACCCTTGTAAAAATATTTAAAGCCATAAGCCTGCCATTCAACTGGTCACCAGTGGTTGTGATCTCCATCCATGTTGCTCCCATGGGTGCCAGGGTGGTGCAGAGTTCCATGGGCACAAGAGGGATTTGAAGTGAGGGACAAAGGCATTGAAAAAAGGAGAGAACACTGGTAGTTGGAGTGGGTACTCAGGTGAGTGCAGAGAGGGGCTAGGTGAAGAGAAGGGCAGCACACAGGTGTGCAGAAGCAGACCCTTTGCAATATGGTAGGGCTGCAGTGGTCCTCGGCTGAGGCACCCTGGGCTGTGGCACAGTGACAGTGCGTTATCCTATGCTAACAAATACCCAAAACGCCAAGCAGAGCTCTGATAGCTCAAGCAGGAGCCAGAGTCTCACTGCAGCCAAGGGAGCTAACACAGTGAAAAGCTAAGAAAAAGGGGGAAATACAAGAATCTTTAGTAGATCTGCAGATTAAACCAGTGCAAGGTCCTTGTTCTGCTGCCAAGCACAACTCTACCAAGAAGCCTTGTGCTGTTTACCATACATACTGCATGGCAAAATTTCCCCTAGGTGACCACTTAAGGTGGCAAAAAAAAATTTTTTTAAGGAAAAATTGCCTTCAAATAAAGCAAAGCATAACAACTAACAGGCTGGGAATGCTTAGGGACAGTCTGTTAGGACAGATGGCTGCTTAACCAGAATGGTCTCTTGACCAGGTTTCTCTGTCTGCATTCCAGGTGCCTGCACGTAAGGAAGCAGATTACATGTGCTGTTTCAAATGTGTATCGATTTGCCAGTGGGGAGAGAGAAAACTCCATCTTTGATAAAGAATTTGATTTGATGATCATTTACAGACCACACCGCATGAAGTCTTGACACTGTTTCTTCACCCTAATTACTTTGTGAGCCATCTGGTGCACCTGCTGTTGCAGGGAGGCAGGAATAACAGTTTTACACCCTCCCTCCCTTTTCTTTTCCTTTTTATCACACTGAGATAGATCTTTTAGGTGAACATCCACCTGACATGGCCAGACAGTGCAGATGTAGACGCAGGTGCAAACTCGGTCAACCATGCCTCCAGATGGCTCTTACTTATTAAGGCAGCCAAAGTAATAACCACAGACAAAGGGCCTCCAAGAAAAAAAAAAAAACCAAAAAAAAAACAAAAAACCAACCAAAAACAAAAGAAGAAGACCATCCTGCAGGAAAACACTAGGTTCAGAGATGGAGTTTGTGACGATCCTGAAGATACAATCAAGCTTTGAATCTATGGTGGAAACAGAACTGGTCAAGTCCTCTTGAAATTTGGGTGAAATGACAGACTGATAATTGAGCAAGCATGAAAATGGTTAAAATAGAGTCTCCTGAAGGCTGATTACATAAGCGTAAGTGCCAAGAGCTAGATGCCAAGATAAAAGCCATGGCTTCCTTTTCTCCTGTTGAGTTATCTAGTCTGCAGCCGAGAAAGCCAAGAGGAAAAAGCAACAGGATATTTTACATTCTGATTTCTTTTAGATGCTAGGGGTATCACATTTCCAGTGGCTGAACTCCAAGCAAACAAACAAGAGAACAAAATGAAGAAATTGTGCCCTCCCTCAACCTCTCCTTCTAATATCTTTAATTACTGGTCTACAAAGTGTGAAAGTTCAAAGGAATGAGTTTCAGGCTTGGGAAGCTGCCTCACTAAACAAGTTCATTTGGGCAGAATAAGCTCACAGGAGTCCAGAGGCCGCCTCTGCTCAATTGAATGAGCTCCCACTTTTTAACGTGAGTGCTCAGTAGGGAAAAGGCATCAGGAAAAAAAAAATCTTCTTCAACCAGCTATTCCAACATACCTCCTTCAGGGCTATCACTTATGAGTTGAGGCTTTTTCTGCCTTGAGGGACAGCACAAAATGGTCCCCTCCTCTTCACTGATCATTCCAATAGCTATGCTGCCTAAATGAGTGTTCCACTGAGGAGAATTAATTGCTGCTTTCCACCTGTATTTTCTGGAGAGAGGATTTGTGGCAGAGTGCCCAGCAGACACTGTGCTTCTGAGGATGCTGGGGCCAAAAAAACAGCATGCAAAAGTGATGGGAGGTGTAAATCCACAGGCAAGACTCCCTTGGCCCTGCCATGCTGCTAGCAACACACAAAAACCTTCAGGCTTGGCTGAGGAGCAGACTCAGCCCTGCTTCAGTCCCTCTGCAAAGTGAGAAGGAAATCTGGGGGGTGGGGAACTTCACAGTAGTAAATCTTAGTGAGAGGCAGGATTGCAATGCACACAAGTCATGCTAAGCTCCCCAGTTCCAGTTCGTAATAACTCTGAAAATGGCTTAGGTGTATGTCTCCTCTGAAAGGTGTTCTCTGAATTCTCCTGCCTGGAGGGGTCTTTAAAACCTGAGGCCTATGTGCCATCAGCCCAAAGACTGTCATCACCATGAGGGCAATGAGATCCTAGACCTGTCTTATAATTCCTGACATACACTAGAGAATCAAATCAATTGCATCTCTCTCATATATCTAAGCAACATCCTTTTGACCAGCTTGCTTTCTTTCTCAGTGGCTTGCTCGCATGCTTCTGAGGCAGATAAAGGTACAGTTTGACTTTCCAAAGAGTATTCCTCTCCTCTCCTCAAGCCCATGCACAAAACAATCACTGACAAAGAGAAAGGCAAGAGTGGACTGGGGAACTCGTGCCTTGGACCTTTTTATGAAGATGTCTGTCGCTGTCATAAATACCCCTTTGCCAACACAGTTCAGAAACCTTGGAAAGTGAGATTATTTCTAGAATTTAGAACTAAGAGTTTTGTCCTTGGAGCAGTACCTCCTTCGCAAACCCACAGCCGCGAGACAGCTCCCTAGCACAGGAGCTATAAATGCTGCATATTAAGCAGCAGATGGAGAAGGGGAGTGTAAGGAAGCAGTAAGAACTTCCCCACCAACCTGATAGACGCTGTTCTCAGCAGAGCAAAACCTGACTGTTGCCAAGTTTTTTGCCAAGGTATGTTGGCAAAGACATAAGAAAAGGGAGAGTTTTACCGAGACTTTGAAAGAGGATAATACAAATAAGAGATGAACTATATTCTGGATGATCATTCTTTTTCAAAAATTCTTTTCAAAACAAAACACAGGGACAGCAAAGCTACTCCTTAAGTCCTGTGCTCTGTTGTGTGTGAGAACAAAACTTTCCCTAAACCCCCTCTATTATTTATTGCTCATTCATTTTGCTAGGCCACATATAAAGCTACACCTCTGCCAGTCTTCCTGGAAACTAAGCCAGTTAAACCACTGCAGAGATATATTTAGGACAGAGGAGTTGTAGGGGACAGCTGGAGCGTATCTTATACTCCTTTACTGTGGTACTCTTTACCCTTGTCACTGGGCCCAGAGTGAAATATCTGGTATTCATATTTTAATGAATGACAGCCAGGCAAATTCAAGTCATGAAGTTGTGATCAGGTCTTCCTCAGCAAAACAAGAATTTGGCTAAACCTGTATTTGGTTTGGTCTATAAATATATTGTCTTGTTAACAATCTCACCCAAAGGTAGCATTAAAACTGGAACAATTTGTTTTTCTGAAATCAGGACTTGCAGTGAGTGCTGGGATTTGGATGTAAAATCCAAGGACAATGTCTATGTCTTTTTGATGTTAATGATTCACAGGGTAATTTCTGAATTCACTGAAGGGTAGTTATCACTAATGCTGGGATTTGCATGGCAAGACTGTGCTCTGTAGGATGTTTTACAGTGTTGTCCCTTTTCTGGGCTCACTGTGATCTACAGTACATGTTTTTCAGTTCACATCCTGCATTCTGAACAGCCTACATTGGCAGCAAAACAAATTTTGTATCACTTATTAGTGATATAAATCAAGCATTCCAGCATTCCATTAATGGCAAATCTGAGGCTCATAGCCAGAAAAGGGAACATCAGGACCCCCCTTTCAGGACAAAAAGATGATTCTTGCAGCATCTTTTCCCTAACTCCAAATTTTTTTCTTCTCTGTTTTAAAGCTGAATTTCAATTTGGAAATGCAGAATGCCAGGGCTAATTGAGAGCCTTTGTGACACACTGCCATATGCAAGAGGCAGAAGGGAGGCCCTTACTTGCCTGGCTAAAGCAACCCAACTCTCTAAGAGGGCAGCATAAGAAATGAGCATTGAAAATGACTTAGAAGTTGTTTTTAGTAGCATTGATGTAAAACTTTGCACAGAGGCAAGGTTCCCAGTGGTTTCAGGTGGCTGGGGGGACAAGGTCTCCATGGACCAAGGTTTCAGGGATTGCACTGAAGCCTGAAGGATTACCGAATACAGGAATTTGCCCTTGGATACTCCACTCACACTGGATTTTCTGTCTAAACCCGTGATTTTGTCTGGGTGGATCCTGATTTATACCTCTATGATTAAAAGGGAGCTGAAGCCATCAGTGGAATGAAAAAAGTCTTAGGTTAGCGGTAGTCTTGCCTGTGTGAGAGCTGCAGGATCAGTCTGTATAACCCTGGCCAGTCTTTGGCATTTCATGAGCAAGTTGCCTTTATTTATAACATGGTACAGCAGGACGTGTTGCTGTGACTGACTTACAGCAGCTGCAAGGTCAGAAGTTTGATATGCTGAGGGAAAAGTGTCCTGGCAATGCATATCTGAAGATTGTGTTGAATCAGGGATATGTAAAAGGTTAAATAGGGTAAGTCTAGATTTTTGGGCTTTTTTATATCTCTGACTAGCTTTTTAGAAACACCCTTGGAGGATCCTAAAGAGCACTTTCTATAGCAGAATGCTGAATTCACCCTTTTTGCCACCTTCTTTGACCTTTTTACCATCTCCTTGCTTCTGCTTTGTAAAATAAGAGCCACTAAAACAACCCTATCATTAAATCCACAGCATCTATTCCTTCATTGATTCTTGAGAGGCGATAAAAAGCTCAGCTAGGAACACATTTTAATAATTATACAGCTATTATTATCATTTTGGCTTTGCTAGGATTTTTGAAAGATAAATTGTGCAATCTATTTATAAGCTTGATAAGCAAAGAGGACCTAGTGTCCTTTCCCTTAAGTCTGTGGCAAGTCTCATATGCGGAGTGAAATCAACGAAAAGAGCATCAAACAAAAAAATGAGACTTCTAATTAAACATAATCTTGCAGTAGGTGGGTACAAAAAGTACCTCAGCAGTGAAGGGAAAGAAAACTCTGTATTTTACACATAAATACAGACATTTCAGTAAATACTTGGAAAGTGATGATCTTCCATGAGTAACACTTATCCCAGGAGAAATGGTGAGGGCAAAAAGCAACTCCAGGAATACTTTTGGAGGATACAATTTGAAGGAGATCTCTGTTTTACTCAGCTGGTTAGTTACATGATATTTATCTGCTCATTTGCGAAACTGGATTTTGTAAGCAAAAACTAATGGCAAAAAGTAACAGGATAGACAATGAAAAATGAAAGCACAATTTCAAGGATGTCAGAGCTAGGGCTTTAAGCATGAAAGCAGTCCCAAAGACAAGGCTTATGGATGAGGTCCAGATAACCGTTTCCTAGCAACAGGAATACTATTAAGGGAGATGATGAGGTCCAGTTTAATGCGTTTATCCAGTGCTTTGAAGGACAAGTAGCATCAAATTCCTCATTTTATACAGGGCTACTCAACCAGGTTCTGTAACTGTCTTTACAGGAAGAGTTTCTATAGAAATCAGTCCTGCATATATACCTCTATATATCTGTATTCATTTATTAGTCCTTTCCTAGCAGAACATGGAAATAATCTTATTTATTGAGATATCCACTTTGTGTTATTAAATTAGATGCAAGACTGCAAATTAGATAAACACAATTACAATACCTACAATACCTCTTGGTTTTATTTCTGGGAAATTTAGACAGGTTCACCCAAAAAAAAATCTGTCACAGTACTTACAAATGTCTATTGTAAAAGTTACTTTATGGCACGTCTTGAATAAAAAATTAACCATCAAAATGAGAGGTTGACACCACACAAACTTCTGTGAAGAAATTTGATAACTTGGCTAAAAACATTGCATAATTTGGTAAAATTCTTTAGAGTCATTGCTCAACAGCAGTATTTATGCATACATTGAAGTGATTAACACCAAAGCCAGAACTGAATCAAA